TTGGCAAATTACTTGTATGTGGACACACATAAAACATTATGCATTTAAAATTATTCAATTAGTTTTTTTTTTTAGTTAATTTTTTACGAAACATATTTAAAACTTTGATTTACTGACAACTTGTGTATCTAGATTCTTATAACAAACATTTACCTCCTTGAAGCGAGGGATATATGTAGGACGAAGGCTCGTGCAGCCAAGATACGACGCGCACCAAATCTTTGACGTAGCTAGGTATGATGCAGCGTAATATCGCGGTGCATCCCCTCGATGCTCCCCCCGTCACCTCCACGTCAACTTTGTATGCTTGAGCCACCACTGCAAACAGTAATAAAATTTCGCATAAACCCACGTGTTTCAGCAATTGTGTAAAAATTGCAAAACAATGGCTTACGTAGTACGTAACTTTTATTATATTTCTTTGCTCAAGAATAGAGATTGATACCTTATGAGAGAAAAACATTTTTATATTACACGCATAATTCACAATTATTATAATGATATAATTTTATCCGACTTTTGAATTTTTAATTATATTTTACTTTATATTTTACTTACTATTTTATTTTTCGAAATTTATTATTTCGTATACTCCAATTTAAAAAAAGTTGATGCTATACAAAAGATTACAAGTTACCATTATATCGAGTTAACAGCGCAATCAACAAAATAGGGATTCTCGCGTGTCTATGCCTTTAATTGTCGCCATAATGAAAAAGCAATCGCAGTAGTTACTCCGACGTCTCGTTTTCAATTACATTGCGCACCTCCGTCTCGTTACATCGTGAAAGCGCGTTATCTGTGTATACGCGGATGTACGTACACTGTGTACATACACACCGGGTGTCGCGCGTGTTGTTACGACGCAAGCATCGGGTGAATCTCGACGTCGCTCGGTGTCGAGGATGCGCCGAGGCATGAGGCGACGCGAGCGTATAACGAACGCCACGGCGTCGCATCTCCTCTCGCCCCTTCCTTTTCCTTTTTCCGTCGTCGTCGTCGCCGCCCTCTCGCGCTCGAGAGGCACCGTACCCTCTTCCGGAGATTTTATTTACGTGGAAATTCCAAGGGCGACGGCCAGCTTTACCACCAACGGCGCAGTCTGACAGGCCGACGTCGCCGTCGCGACGCCGCGACGCGGAGACCATCCCCCCCATTCCGATTGCCTTCCCGATCCTGGGAGTTGCCTGCCGTCTTTGTACCATGTGATAAAATGCGGTCCAGCCTGTGGATGTGTACCAACCTCACATCTGAACTCGGCGTTGCCTCCTAAGTGAACGCTGAGTAACATAGGCGTCACTTCCACGTGAAGAGGCGCCGTCACGATTAACCTGGCGTTATAATAAAAATATCGATATTACGTTAACTACGAGCTACATTTAACTCACGATGCTACCAGACGACGCGTGATGATGTAATCATTAAAGAGACAAGATGTAATTGAAACGCATGGAGTAAACGAAATAATAATAATAGATTATCAATTCTGTAATTAATAATTGACATTTGTCAATAATTTATTTGATTAATTTTAATCTGTATTACCTGATTTCGGCACTCGCTTCCCCACCAGGATTAGAAGCAGAACAGCGGTACACACCGCTGTCTTCTAATGTTACCGCCTCGATGGCCAGTACAGAACCAAGTAATCTAGTTCTGGGCCCAGAGAGTACCAACATTGGTTCCGCACCTGTTTGCGCGTACCACCTGCAAGCGGAAGCGTCGAGAAAATGCTTTCAACATAATAACATTCGCGAGCGTTACTCTATGTTATTTAAAGAATTCATGGTTTTCTCGTTTATATAATAATAATTGTTTAAAAGTAGCATTTTTTACTTTTATTATTATTAATTAAATTAAGGATCAAAAAATATAAATACACGAGTTAACAGCGCAATCAACAAAATAGGGATTCTCGCGTGTCTATGCCTTTAATTGTCGCCATAATGAAAAAGCAATCGCAGTAGTTACTCCGACGTCTCGTTTTCAATTACATTGCGCACCTCCGTCTCGTTACATCGTGAAAGCGCGTTATCTGTGTATACGCGGATGTACGTACACTGTGTACATACACACCGGGTGTCGCGCGTGTTGTTACGACGCAAGCATCGGGTGAATCTCGACGTCGCTCGGTGTCGAGGATGCGCCGAGGCATGAGGCGACGCGAGCGTATAACGAACGCCACGGCGTCGCATCTCCTCTCGCCCCTTCCTTTTCCTTTTTCCGTCGTCGTCGTCGCCGCCCTCTCGCGCTCGAGAGGCACCGTACCCTCTTCCGGAGATTTTATTTACGTGGAAATTCCAAGGGCGACGGCCAGCTTTACCACCAACGGCGCAGTCTGACAGGCCGACGTCGCCGTCGCGACGCCGCGACGCGGAGACCATCCCCCCCCAGAACCAAGTAATCTAGTTCTGGGCCCAGAGAGTACCAACATTGGTTCCGCACCTGTTTGCGCGTACCACCTGCAAGCGGAAGCGTCGAGAAAATGCTTTCAACATAATAACATTCGCGAGCGTTACTCTACGTTATTTAAAGAATTCATGGTTTTCTCGTTTACATAATAATAATTGTTTAAAAGTAACATTTTCTACTTTTATTATTATTAATTAAATTAAGGATCAAAAAATATAAATACATTAAATATAATTAGAATAAATATAAAAATAATTTTTGAAGAAAATTATCACACACATTTTGTTACATGAAAATTGTTAATTATTGTGCACAAGGAACACAAATGTGTGGAATAAATGCAAATATTACAATATCGAAAATGAAGTATTAAATATATGTATATCGTATATTGTCGCTTATATGACAATACAATTTTTATTATCGTGCTTATTGATCGTAGATTAGAATATTTGTAATATTCGCTAACAATAAGTTTCTCATAGTCGATTTTCGAAGTCAATGCAATCAGATTCAAATGTTTGAAGACAGTGCGAGTGATACGATCTTCACAAATAGCGCATCTAATCTCTCTTTCTCTCTTTCTCTCTCCTGCTTTCTGCTTTGTTCCTGTTTCCTTTCTGTCTCTCGCACTCTGTCTCGTTGACGAATAATTTTTTATCAAAAGGCAAAGCAGTTGGTACAGCAAAGAGGCGGGGGCATGAAAGGAGAGACCAGTTCAATTTCATTGGCTTTTCGGATACATCGACCTAGAAACGACGTCGGCATCCAGCAGCGTTTATCTCTGAAATTCTCTTGCTGCCTCTCTCTATCCGTAGTTACTGACAGTTCCAGATCGAACAGCACATTTTGACTTTGGGTCGTTCACGAGCACAAGGAGCTTTCCCTCGTCTTCCACACTCATAATCTATCGAATTTCGCTTGGCTCCTAATTTGGAACTTTAATACTGCGGGAATTTTGATCAAAACTTTTCCACTTTTAAAAAGGACATGTTAAATCAATACTTGCAAGTATTATTGCCTCTTTTCCGTGAGGTACTGATTGATCATCTCGACACTGCATTATTTCATATCAGTAAAAGTCTATCATGACTGAACAATGCATATTTGACAGTTTAAATATTATATTTTTAAAATAGACATATTTCTCGTTTCAATATATTTTTAATTATATTATAAAAATGTAAAATATATATGTATATTATACAGTGATTTGCAAAATAAAATTTATAATACTAGAATAATAATAATATTAAGGAAGGCGCAATGAGAAATATCTTTGTAAAAGAACAACGTTTTACTTGAAAACAAGGTACTTTGGTTATTTAAATGAACATTACACGTACTTAAATTTTTTTTTATTCAGATTTTAACGTGTTCAGCGATCGATGAAATAATTACTAGAATTTAAATGTTCGCGTGAAAGATTTAGTCGGAAAGTTGATCGACTCGAATCGTCGAGTCGTTAGAAGACGAAGAAGTTGGCGAACACGGTACGGCGTGTCGTATAAGTACTTAAAACTTGCACGTGTCCAAGAGGGAATTCAATAAATCCTGCGGAGTTCCGCGGGAGAATCTTATCTGTGCGATTTGTCCGGAGGGAAGGTTTTTCGAGAGGCACCGTACCCTCTTCCGGAGATTTTATTTACGTGGAAATTCCAAGGGCGACGGCCAGCTCTACCACCAACGGCGCAGTCTGACAGGCCGACGTCGCCGTCGCGACGCCGCGACGCGGAGACCATCCCCCCCCCCCCCGGTCTGAGCCCCCGG